TTTTTTTGAGACAGAGTCTTGCTCTGTCGTGCAGGCTGGAGTGCAGTGGCGCAATCTCGGCTCACTGCAACCTCCGCCTCCCGGGTTCAAGTGATTCTACTGCCTCAGCCTCCCGAGTAGCTGGGATTACAGGAGCCCGCCACCGGGCCCAGCTAATTTGTTTTTGTATTTTTAATAGAGATGGGGTTTCACTGTCTTGGCCAGGTTGGTCTCGAACTCCTGACCTCGTGATCCACCCGCCTCAGCCTCCCAAAGTGCTGGGATTACAGGCGTTAGCCACCATGGTCGGCCAATCTACAATGTTAATAGGGGAAACTGTGCACTGGGACAAATGGGAACTCTTGGCACTATCTGCTAAATTTTTCTGTAAGTCTGAAACTGTTCTAAAATATATAATCTATTAATTAAAACAAAAACAAAAAAAACCTCGAGGCTGGGTATGGTGGTTCACACCTGTGTGCAATCCCAGCACTCTGGGAGGCTGAGATGGGATGACTACTTAAGTCCAGGAGTTTGAGTCCAACCTGGGCAGCACAGTGAGACCCCATCTCTACAAAAAATAAAAAAATAGACTACGAAAAATAGTCTCAGGTACCTGGGAGACTGAGGTAGAAGGATCGCTTCAGCCCAGGAGATAGAGGATTCAGTGAGCCATGATCATGCCACTGCACTCACCCTGGGTGACAGCGAGAGACCTTGTCTCAAAACAAAAAGCTAAAACAAAAATCAAGTAGCAATTCAAAATTCACAAGAGATTAGTTGGTGAAAAAAATATTAAATATATGTAGAAGGTAATCTTCTGTCAGAAATACATACACACAAATGAATTAAAAAGCTGTTAAAGAAAGATATGTACCAAAAATTAACAATGGTTAATTTGAGGGATGAGGTTTTTTGGAAATTTTTTTAGTGCAGAGAGTTGTGTACCTTTTTTTTTTTTTTTTTTTTTTGGGACAGAGTCTTGCTCTGTCACCCAGCCTGGAGTGCAGTGGTGTGATTTCGGCTCACCACAGCCTCCACCTTACGGGTTCAGGCAATTCTCCTGCCTCAGCCTCCCGAGTAGCTGGGATTACAGGCACCCACCATCACGCTTGGCTAATTTTTGTATTTTTAGTAGAGACGGGGTTTTGCCATGTTGACCAGGCTGGTCTCAAACTCCTGACCTCGTGATCCACCTGCCTCAGCCTCCCAAAGAGCTGGGATTACAGGTGTAAGCCATCACACCCGGCCTCTTTTAATTTTTTTTTTTTTTTTTTTGAGACAGGTTCTTGTTCTGTCGCTTAGGCTGAAGTGCAGTGGCAATCTTGGCTCACTGTAGTCTCGACTTCCCCAGCTGAAGCAACCCCCCACCTCAGCCTCCTGAGCAGCTGGAACTACAGGCCTGAGCCACAATGCTTGGCTATTTTTTTCTTTATTTTTGGTAGTTTTTGTAGAGACAGGGTTTTGTTGTTGTCTAGGCTGGTCTTGAACTCCTGGGCTAAAGTGATCTGCCCACCTCAGCCTCCCAAAGTGCTGGAATTACAGGCATGAGTCACCACGCCCAGCTAGAAATGGCTTGCTTTTAAGAATGCTACCAATTCCACTGTAAAAGGACAGATTTCCGTCTTTTTTTTTTTGAAACGGAGTTTTGCTCTTGTTGCCCAGGCTGGAGTGCAATGGTGCGATCTCAGCTCACTGCAACCTCTGCCTCCTGGGTTCAAATGATTCTCCTGCCTCAGCCTCCCCAGTAGCTGGGATTACAGCCATGCGCCAACACGCCCAGCTAATTTTTGTATTTTTAGTACAGATGGAGTTTCTCCATGTTGGTCAGGCTGGTCTCCAACTCCCGACCTCAGGTGATCCGCCCGCCTCAGCCTCCCAAAGTGCTGGGATTACAGGCGTGAGCCACCGCTCCCAGCCAGATTTCCCCTGTTTACAGTGGAAGTGTGGAATGCATTTCCTTTAGCTATACAGTTCTTATTTAGAATATTTGTTGGATATTGACTAAAGAACAGATATCAAAACATGGAATGACCTACAAGAGAGACAAGAGAGTTTCCTTACTAAAGATGTTTACATAGAAGCTGGGCAACAATTTACTAAATAGGGTTTGTAAGAAGGATGCATAGCTCTAGTAGAGGATTCCCTGTGATCAGCATGATTTAGCATTGTGTCTCGCATATAGTAGGTGCTCAATAAATATTTGTTGAATGAATGAATACATTATTTCTATGGGCCTTTCCAAACTTGAGACCGTGTGATCCATAAAGCCTCCCCTCACCATTCCAGTTCTCCTTGCTTTCTTCCTTCTCTAGATTGCAGAAACAATTATGAAACACTAATATTATGAACCACTAATTTAATGGCTCTTAATTACATACTGTATTGTCTTTTATTGTTCCCTAGTTATGTTAGTTTTTATTTTTATTTTTTTTTTATGTTAGGAATTTAAATTCTGCCTCCCCAAAAAGAGTGCTAGTTGCCAAAAATCAATTCTATTTAACTAACGTTTATTGGGCACTATATATTAACTACTAGCACCTGTCCTACAAAACCTTCTATTCTAAAAGGCATAGAGTCATTAAAGAGAGAGAGTGCACTAAGTGTCCCAATAAAGGTATACACAAAATGCTATCGTCAGACGGGGGAACAATTCATTTTGCAAGAAAGGCAGCCCAGGAAAACTACAGGTAGCATTTCAGCTAGTCTTCATAGATAACAGGAGTTTGTCAGGCTCTTGGGATAATATTAATAGATTGGGAGGAAGCTGATGCTATAGCAAAGAGAGGTACAAGTGGCTGTCTCGTTTTCTGCTTTAATGTCTTTCCCCGTGGGCGATAGAAAACTACCATTCTCTAGTATACAATCAATACAGAAATGGGAGCCCAGGGGAGAAAGGGTAGGGAGCCAGAAGGGGGCTGATCCAACAACCTGACGGAAAGCGTTATCTATTTCGCAGCCTGGCCGGGATGAACAAGTTCGGCAAGTGTGGGACCGAACCAGGTCAGAGCCACCAGGTCGGAGCCTTACCTGCTGTCCCTCCCCCACGCAGAGCCCACGCCGCGGCCAACTTGAAATGTACTGGGCTTCCTCAAGTCGGTGGCGTTCTAGGCCCGCCTCCCGGAGCTCCCTATTGGTGAGTTTTCTCGGCCAATGCAGGAGAAGCTGAGGAGGGAAGTCCGCCCTCTCGAAGCCTAGGAAGAGAAGGAGGGAGGGAGCGAGTAAGCCCGGAACCGAAGCTTGCGAAGCGGGTCGCAGAGAGAGATAGGGGTTGCAGAATCATCTAGGGTCACTTATTTCCGGTCTCACTCCAGATGGAAGGAGCCACTGGCCGGCAAGAGTTCACCAAGGGAACGTGACACTCGTATCTCATCGAGGGACCGTGTTGAGGGAGCCCCTACAGAAAGGCCAAAAGAGGAGAGGGCCTACGGAGAAACGAACCCCTGTGAAAGCTGCTCTTTAGGGATCAGTCTCTTTGTGACTCTAGCTTCACAGCTTGGTCTCTCCATTACTCCAGCCTTCCTTTCAATCATACACTGCCTCTCTCCAGCACCACCAATGGATACTTCTTTTCTAAAAATGTTTTTCTGTGGGTTGCTGCCGTGTCTGTGAGAAGGTGGGCAGAGGGTTTGAGAAAGGAAGGATCTGGGATCAGAGTACAAGAGTTGGGGAGACAGGGCAGAAGCCCAGCTTCTTCTGCATTTTCCACTACTTTCCACTTCCTGCGCGCTCTTTGGGAAGGCGAGCAGCGTGGAAGGAGGAGTCCTATTTTCGCAGAAAACAGAAACAAGGGAGAAAGGGTTCAGAATGGAGATGAAGTCTAGGAGTTAGTCAAGAAGAATATCCCAGATGTAAGAGAAAATGACCTGTAAACTGGGAGGCTGTAGGTGTAGCGGCAAGCGCCCAGTCTTTGCCATAGAACAGAAATATAGCTGTGAAACTTTGGAGAACTTGCTTAAACTTATGAAGTCTGTTTCCTCATCTGTAACAAGAAGATGATAGTTCCTATCTTACAGAGTTGTGAGGATTGAAAATAGTGTATGTAAAGCACATGGCACATAGTTGACACGTGTCCAAGAAATAACTAGTAAAAATGGGTAGCTTCCCGCAAATCTTTCTCTCTCTCCCATACCTGGGAACATTATTTTCAGTATCTTGCATCTGGGGGGCCTCCAGCCTCCGAATTAGCTCAGGACCCTGAGTGAACTTTTTAAAACCTTAGGATTTTTCTTCTTCTCCCACTTTCCTTGGTGCCTTCCAGCTGGACACAAACTCATTCCTAAAATATGTGGATGGAAGCTATGGTAACCATGGAGACAGGGCAGGTGGCAAGGAGAGGCAGAGACAGTGTGACAGACCAATAGACAGATAGGAAGAGAGAAGCTATAAGGAGCATTTCAGACAGAGATCTTCAAGCAAGATGGAAAAAATAAGACGACTAAGCAAGACAGATTAAAGAGGTGCAATGTGACAGAGTGTATTACCAGGTTCGCTCTTCTTCCTGCCCCTTTCCTATCTCCCTGCCCACAATAATACGGGGTGGAGGCACCTGGGAATGTCCCTTGCCCTGTCTAAAAGTGCCCCCATATCCACCTTCCTCATATTTATCTAGGTCTATATAAGGGAGCTGAGGTCCAAGTTTCTCTGCGATGGGTGTTCCGTTTTTGAGAGATGGGGCGGGGGTGTATCTGTGTCTGACTCCAGGCTAGACGGTGTCTCCTTCACAATTAAACTACAGGAAGAAAGCCACATCTCTTGCTTCTCTTTGCACAGTATGGACACCGGCTGTGGATCCAAAAAGCCTGTCTACACCTTTCTTGCACAGTGTGCCATGTGCCGTGCGTGGTAGGTCAGGTCTGGCGCACAGGAGCGCATAAACACACCAAGTGCAGAGAATGGGGATCTGCTGAAGCTCAGCGAAGAATCTGGATGATGATGGTCCCTGTCTGGGTCGCGGAGGAGTCCCCTAAGGAACACTTAGGTTTGTTGGGGCTGAGGGGAGGTCGGCTAAGATAAGGAAGTCAGGATTGGAGCCTCTAGGTTTTTGAGGGTTTATGTGTGCATGAGTGGGGGAGCAGTTTGGTGCCCGACGCCCCCACCCGCAGAGACTAGGCTATAAATAGCACAGCAGAGCTCCGCCCCCCCCCCCCCCCCCCCCAGCTTCTCTCCTCCCGAGCCGGCGCTGTGCCCGGGGCGCTCCGGGAGGAGGGACGACGATCCGGCGCTGGGGCGCAGATACTGACACCAAGGGAATCCGGGTGCCCCCCCTCCACACCATGCGGGCCCCCAGGAACCTGGCTCCGCCACCTCGGCTGCCCCGTGGCCACGGCCCCAGTCTTGGCCAGGAGGAGATTCTGCGGACATTCAGGTATCTATCTGGGCGCACAGCCTGGGAGGGGAAAGAGCAAGGAGTGATGGGGAACATCGCAGGGGCAAAAGAACCCCCCAATTCTCCCTCCACCCGTTTTAGGTCTCAAATGCAGGCTGCTTCCCTCCCCCCACTCAATTTTTGGGGTTGTGGCAAGCTAAAAGAGGTTAGGAATGAGAATACATGTGTGACTGTAGGGTGCATGTATGTGGGTGGGTGGCGTTCAGCATCCTAGAAAGGGGGATCCCAAGTGTGGATAAGAAAAGGGGGATAGAGGAAAGGTCTGATAAGCCATGGGGTGAGGGTGGGGGTGCGGACATGCCTGCGCGTGCACGAACGCATTTGCACGCGCGCTAGTCCTTCAGTGCGGGTGCACCCTTCCCACCTCCTCAGGCATGCGCTGCGGGGGAAGGGCCGGCTCAAAGGCATGAGTTAGAGGAAGGACTGTATGCCGTGAAGATCTCCCCCACCCCACGCTGGGTTCCTGCATCGGTGCCTCAGTTTCCCTGCCGAATCTATCAATAAGATGTCTCTCTTGCAGGGATCGGCTTCGTCACTGAGACCTCAGGCCTCTGCCAGCCACCCCCCACCCCCTACCCCCTACCCCTAGCCGTCCTCGGCAGGTCTCAGTCCCGGCTCCATCTGTGCCCTCACCCCAGCCGCAGCTATGTTGCACACCGAGGGCCACGCTCTTCTTCGGGCGGTGGGTCAGGGTAAGCTACGCTTGGCCCGTTTGCTTCTGGAGGGAGGCGCCTACGTGAATGAGGGTGATGCGCAGGGGGAGACTGCGCTAATGGCAGCCTGTCGGGCTCGCTACGACGACCCCCAGAACAAGGCACGCATGGTACGCTACCTCCTGGAGCAAGGCGCGGACCCCAACATCGCAGACCGCTTAGGGCGCACGGCGCTCATGCACGCTTGCGCCGGGGGTGGGGGCGCCGCGGTGGCCTCGCTGCTCCTTGCCCACGGCGCAGACCCCTCAGTCCGAGATCACGCGGGCGCCTCGGCTCTTGTCCACGCCCTGGACCGCGGGGACCGCGAGACCCTTGCCACACTGCTGGACGCCTGCAAGGCCAAGGGCACGGAGGTCATCATCATCACCACCGATACCTCGCCCTCGGGCACCAAGAAGACCCGGCAGTATCTCAATTCTCCTCCATCCCCAGGGGTGGAGGACCCTGCTCCCGCTCCTCCTAGCCCGGGGATCTGCACGTCGCCTTCGGAAATCCAACTGCAGACCGCAGGAGGAGGAGGGCGTGGGATGTTATCCCCTCGCGCCCAGGAAGAAGAGGAGAAGCGGGACGTATTTGAATTTCCTCTTCCTAAGCCCCCCGATGACCCATCCCCTTCCGAGCCGCTCCCCAAACCACCACGCCACCCCCCCAAACCACTCAAAAGGCTCAACTCCGAGCCCTGGGGCCTAGTGGCCCCTCCTCAACCAGTCCCACCCACCGAAGGAAGACCGGGGATCGAGCGCTTGACTGCCGAATTCAATGGCCTGACCCTGACCGGTCGACCCCGTCTTTCCCGACGTCACAGCACCGAAGGCCCTGAGGACCCGCCCCCATGGGCGGAGAAAGTGACTAGCGGGGGTCCTCTCTCTCGCCGAAACACAGCACCAGAAGCTCAGGAGTCTGGTCCCCCTTCAGGGCTGAGGCAGAAACTGAGCCGCATGGAGCCAGTGGAGCTCGACACCCCCGGACACCTTTGCCCTGACTCGCCTGAGTCCAGCCGCCTGTCCCTGGAGCGCCGCCGATACAGCGCCTCCCCGTTGACCCTCCCTCCAGCCGGCTCCGCTCCCTCTCCGCGCCAGTCCCAGGAGAGTCTGCCAGGGGCAGTATCTCCGCTAAGCGGACGGAGGCGGAGTCCGGGGCTGCTGGAGCGGAGGGGCTCGGGGACGTTGCTCCTGGACCATATCTCGCAAACGCGGCCGGGTTTCCTGCCCCCTCTCAACGTCAGTCCCCACCCTCCCATCCCTGACATTCGCCCTCAACCCGGAGGTCGGGCACCTTCGTTGCCTGCCCCTCCTTATGCCGGGGCGCCAGGCTCCCCCAGGACCAAGCGCAAATTGGTGAGACGCCACTCCATGCAGACTGAGCAGATCCGCCTGTTAGGGGGCTTCCAGAGTCTAGGTGGGCCTGGGGAGCCAGGGCGCTGAGAGAAGTGAGAGGAGCCAAGGAGGGTGGGGATTAGGACCTTAATGGGATAGGTGGGAGAACCAGCTCACACACACACCACGAACATAGGGATCTCTTGCATGTGCTCATGGGTGCACAGTGCACCCACACATGGTTAAACATGTGTCCATAAGCACAGTACTCTTATTAGCAAGAAAGAATAAGTACTCTATTTACTGGGTATGTAGACACATGTATTCATGCCCTGGTCATTTCACGTGCATATGGGATTACTTGTGTACCTGCGGACACAGCACATCAATAAACAGGGCTAGGGTCCCAAACTCTCTTGCATTTGTTCAGAAGCAGAAGCAGTAGGGAACCCTTACTTATGGGCAGTCTCCCATGTCTTTGCCCTCCTGCAGAAGCAATCCCTTGCTTTCCATGTATGCCCTGCAACACAGCCTATCATGATTTTGCATACTGTACTCTCTCCATGAACATCCCAGCCCATTCTCCAGGTCTTGCTTTCTCCAGGCCTGGCTCCTTATTCACACCGCGCTTCCAACCCCAACCACTTTTCAGGATATCTTTTTCACTCTTCTTGGGGGTTCCTGCAGCAACCCCCAGCCTATGTTCTGCTGCTGTCTTTACTGCTCTCAACTTCACTTCTCAACTTCCTGCTTTTTATTCCCACCCTGTTCCTCCAACAACTACAACAGATTGTCTCATTTTCCCAGGGGGTGGGTCATGGGCTCTAAACTGCTCTTCCGTCTGTCTGAGCTTATGAACACCCCCACGGGTAGAAGTGGGGAGAAACCCTAAATCACTCCTCTCTCCACTTGACATATCAAATAAATGTGTTCAGAAGTCTCTGTTTTGTCACTTCTGCCTGGAGGTGTGGGTATGGGGAATGAGGAATGGGGAGGGAGGGTAATACTAACTTATAGCTATAATTATCCAAGGGATACTTAGCCGTTCCAGCCACTTTCTTTCCAAGAAACCAACTTTTCTATAGAGAAAAGGCAAGTGTCCTGTGTCCTGAAGGTTTTAAGGCATTCGACAGGATTTCATTTCCTCCAGTTTCCTCTATGTCCAACCTTGAATAAAGATTCCTACAAAGAGTTCCTCCCTCCATCATCAGCAGATATATCCCAGTAGATTAACTGTCTCTTTTTCAAGCTTCCTATTTCTTGACCACTCACAGTTTTTAGTCAGGGTCTAATTTTCATTTCACCAAGTGTGTTTCTTCTATTTTCTTCTACTTCTGGCCTCTATTTCCCCATCTTTGATTTCTGAGCCACTGTAGGAGAGATGGCGGGAAGCAGTTAATATAATCTCACCTAAGTAAAAATGGCCCAGTGACCACATGATAAAGGGTATGTAGAGTGTGTGTGTGTGTGCATGTGTGCAAGTGTGTGTGTGTGTGCAAAGTAATCAGAGGAACCAAGTCTGACATGTTATACCAACAAGGGTAATTTTCTTAATTCCCCCAACTGGACTTCTCAGTTTTCTAATTTTCTGCATGTATCCTAACTCTTTCTCACTCTAATGGAAGGCAAAAAGACTTGCCCATCCCACTCTCTCTTATTCCCTTCCCCTACTTAGAATAAGTGAAATCAGAAATTTACCCAACAATGTGGCATAGTAAAAAGATAAAAAATATTGGGAATCAGAACACCTATGCTTAAACTCTGAATTCCACTTTGCCATCTCTTAGCTATTTAATTTTGGGCAATTTATCTAGCCTCCCTCAGCATCTGTTTCCTTATCCCTAAAATAATAAAATCTAGTGATTGTGATTGTAAAGAAGACATGCATTACAGTACATTGCATAGTTTATGTTCATTAAATGTCAGTATCTTTCTTGCCTTAGCTCCACCACCAATTGCATATGATGTTGGACAAGTCAAATTACTTCTCTGAGCCACAATTTCCTCACCTACAATCTGTAAAATGAAATGGTAGGACAAAATGATCTCTACTCTGTCTGCAATTCTCCCCAGTCTTGCATCTAGGCCCATTTTTTTCTTCAAGCCCCGCCCCAGGATTCTGGCCCGCTTTCTAGTGCTTGCCACAGGACTCCCAAAGACGCGCCCAAGCTACGCGTCTGCCTTTCAGAGGATGCGCTTTTTCTCTTTGCAATTGGTTCTCAGAATCTCCACCCTCCTCAACAATTTGCCTATGGCGGAGTAGTAGCCCTCTAGCTCCCGCCCCGTCACTGGTGATTGGCATGGGACCTAGCTCGTCCCCGCCCCCACTTGACTGAAGGTTCGGCCCTGGCGCCGCCCTCAGTCCCCAGGCGCTAGCTGACTGGGGTGGTTGGGACCGTTAGCTCGGCAGGCTGGCAGGCTCCGGGGCGCTACTCCATTGGCGGCCGGGATGGAGACGATGCGAGCGCAGCGGCTGCAGCCTGGTGTGGGCACCA